TATTTCATTTTTTTGCCTGAACTGCGGTCTAGCGAATTGTTAATTTTGTTTGTGAGTTGTTATTTATTCTTATTGTCTCACATTTTGTGAATCAATATGTTATTACTTATATTAAAATTACAAAAAATATAAAACTTTACTTTTTGAAATGATTTCATTAGTATCCAATTTTTTTATTCGGAACTAATTTGAGAACCTAATCAATTACAGTTGTTGGATTAAAAGTTAGAGCAATGTTATAGAGACCTAATTTAATGCAGTCATTGAATTAATTATAAATTTCAATGTTATATGAAGCCCACCTTTAATCTAATGATTGTATTAAATTAAGTTCTCAGATTAGGTCTAAATAACATTTTTTTAAGAGTTTGACTCTATCTAACATTAGAATTCATAATTAATCTAATTATAATATTTAATTAGGTCCTTAATCTCTATAGCATTGCCCATTAATATCCATTAATTAAATTTTCAAAATGGTTTTCATTTGTTACTTATCCAAACATAATAGCAAAACCATACCAAATGTTGGTCCACGAGAGAGAGAGAGAGAGAGAGAGAGAGAGAGAGAGTTTCTTCATCTCCCATCTTTGCTAATAATACATTTGGGAGTTAATAATCTGATAAAATATCTAACATAATAATGTGTTAGTTAGGTATGGTCCAATGAAAAAATTCAACAATTACAATAATATTATTTGATTATTTCAACTAACATTAGATCTACTCGAAGTATTTATTCCAAAGAAGATTATTCTTAAAACAAGAATATCGTCATTTTTTTCATGATATCTACTCAAAAAGGGGTGACCCACATACATGCATTTATGATAAAAGATTTCACATTTTATTATTTTGATTTCACAAAATACGGGTATAGATTTTATCAAACAAAAAAACTGAACTAAAAAAAAACAAAGAAACTCGTATTGTTAGGCAATTCAAATGTCAATTATAACACCAACCAATTACCCAAAACAAATATACAAATCAAATGCATTGAATCTCAAATATAGTTACTCCACACTGTTTCAACAAACAAAATATTATCGTAACTTCTTAAAATTTGTGTTTTTTAAAATTTAAATTTTTTATATATGCATTCAACATAAAAGAATTCAACTTTGTTATTTTCATTTGGAATTGTTAATATTTTTTAATTTTAGTTTGGGTTTTTTCTAACAAAAATTTCAAAAAATAAAATAAAATAAAATTGAAAACTAACCATTGAAAATTAGGGTTGAAACCTTAAAGGCAAACTTCAATGTTTGGAGAAGAAGATTCTGACAATGAATAACAGTTACACAAAACCAAAATGCCGAACAGTTACAAGAAATATATGATATCTTGGTCTTCCACCTTTTTAAAAAAAAAAAACTCTTTTTCATATTCAATAGGGTTTGAAACGATTATTTCTTAGTATTATCTTTATAATCTATTCATAAATTCATTTGAATCTCAAAAATACCGTAGACGAAGTAACACTCGGTTTAATACTTTTTTTTTTATCGTTTGATGCCTTATTGGAGTTGAGATTGTCGCTTGACATCTAAATGAGGTCTGTTCTTTCCTTTTAACGAATGGTCTTTTGATCATTTTCTTAAAAAATGCACTTTTGTCCAAATAACTTTCCTTGTTATAATTTATTTCATTTAAATCCAAATTTTCGTTTCAGCTTTCGTTTTACCCATATTTAAACCACCCAATGAGCCCAATAAATATGGGCCTTGAAATAGGCCCATAGAACCCAGTCTTTACAAAATCTGGGTCCAAATTACGCCGTTGCCTCCTCCGTCTGGGTTCGTCGTTTCTTTTGATCATCTGTAAACGTGTAGAAGCCAGCTTCAAAATCTTCAGATATTCCTATTGCTGAATGTAAGCTCATTACTCTCTCTCTCTCTCTCTCTCTAATTTCTCAGGTTTTTGTATGTAGAATCGTAAAATTAGGGTTTTTCGTCTCTGTTATTGTTACTCTATTTTTTTACTTTCTTTTGTATTCAATTGATTGGTTGTTGGTGCACAGTACATTACGTTTTCAGATGATATTGTTTGATGATGGTAGTTTTGGAGCTTGATTTAGAATTACAAACTGGGAATTGACCACTGTTGGACCTAAATTAGGTACATTGCAAATATTCCACGGCACAATAATTCGTACTCCAATGCAATATAATGATGAACTATAACAGATGGCAAATAAATACATTGAAGGGGCCCTCCTCCCTATGCAATCCTAAATTGATTATGCTTTCCGTTACAAATCTTTGTATCTAGAAACGTAAAGTTAGCTTTTTGTCTCTCTTTTCACTGTTACTATGTTTCTGCTTTCTTTTGTATTTCAATTAATTAGCTTTTTGTGCACAGTACATTGAATTTTACCAAGATACAGTTTGATGATTATGTGTTGGTTTTTATGACACCAGGCAGTTCTGGAGCTTCATTTTAAAATTTCAAACTTGAATTTGGGCTATTAGACCTGAATTAGGTACAAGACCAAGCTTACTCCAGTGACATATGATGATTTGGTAATATCGTAGCAATCAGGGAAGGCACTAATTGGATGCTGGCGGAAGCTGTATGTAAATAGGTATATTTTATTTCATTGTTGATTGTATCAATTTATGATTACTTGGTGTATCACAATACACACACTTGAATTCATGTATTTGTATATAGCACAGTTCTTTGCCATCTGTTCTTGTATTTATAAGCTAATTATTTAGGCATCTACTGAATCTTGATCATTGTGATCATTAAACAACTACAATTGACTTGTTCGTAATCGAATTTGCAGTCATATACATTGGATATACTAGAATTCTGCCCTATGCTCTGAGCTCAAAAACTTTGATAACAGATAGCATGCTATTATGTGATTATCAAATGTAATTGTGCCTATCAGGATATTTAGTTAATTTGTGGTAGAATTTGCGTAATGATATACTAGTCCGGTACATGGGGGTTTTTTAGGGTCTCAGTATCATTGGTTAAGACTTACTATTTGGTTGAACTTTGAAACCATTCATTGTATCCACCTTATGTTTGGCAAAGTCTGCACGACATGGGATTTAATTGTGCTAGTGACAGCTATTGGCGTGCCAGGATGCCATTGTACTTTTTGAGATGGCTCCACAAAATGTGTTAGAAATGGTTCACCAGATGCAACAGCATGAAATGTAGTTATATGAGATTCACTAGTGCAGTGTCTCTTAGATTATTTTGCTTTGTTTCTCTATGTTTCACATTCCCTCAAAATGGTTTCTCAAGCACCAACTATAGTTTGCTCCTAGGGCCCTGCGGATTGGAGTTTAACTGGAGGAAAAAATTAAGAACTTATGACTGCTACTATTGTAACTGAATAAATTTGAAACTGGACTGCAAAAATATACGCCAAATATCCCAAAGAAGTCTCTGCTCCTCTTTCAGAAATGTTTAGAAATTATATTATATGTTGATATTGGTCTGACACACTATCATCGAAAAATTGCTTGGAGCTGAAGTAGTTCAAGATTCTGCATGCCTATTAGAGAAGCCTCGTGTGACTAATAACAGCAAATTTCTCCATGCCTATTAGAGAAGCTCCGAGTCACCAATAGGCTCCTGGCCTCTTTATGTGACCATAGTTCAATTCAATTGTCCTAGTTTTCCAGAAAAAATTTGGTGAGAACTTCCATACAAATGATATCTTTGATAATTTACTCCTAGTCTCATCCAATAATTCACAAAAAACAACACACCAAGGACAAAGTTGGCAGATGAAAAAAAGATTCTTAAGCGTTCAAAGTTTTTCAGTTTTGCGGTTTCTCTGATAATTTACACTGCTCAGTTTGTTATAGGATTAGGATAAGACCTGGCTGCGCCAATCTCTGCATATATACATGCTTGCACATGAGTATAACTGTAATTGCATATCTGACTCCGCTCTGCCAATCTTGGTTTATTTCACTGAACAGACCTGGTTTGTTATGAAGATGCTCTTGTTGCAGTCCTTCCTTCTTTCCTTGGAATAAAGAACCTTCAATTGATGGTTTCATCCTTTTTTTTTTTTGCTGGCTTCCATTTTCTTTTGTGAGCAAATATGTATTTGCCTTATTATAAATTGGATGGATTACTTGATTGGCATGTTGGTCTATAAACAGATTCATTTGTAGGATCATTTGGTTCTGACTAGTATATATCTGAATCTTGGGACCAAAACATTTATTTTGTTATATCGCACGACAGAAGTTAAATCTTAGTACCATTGTTTTGGCTGGTGCAAAATGGAATCAGCGATTGGTTCTATTTTTATTGACGTATTGGGTTCTGTTCTGTTGTATTATAATGCGCTACACACCATATGACAAGTCATTTAATAAATGGAACTTGATGGATGAATAGGAATTACCAGATACATTGATCTTTTAGTAAAGTTATCATATGTTCCGATGAAACTATAATCTCTACACTGCATACATAATTCAATCAGTCTGGTACATCTAATTGGTTGTTTTATGTAACCACAGCATAAGTATAGTTGTATTTAATGATCACGTGGCAATGCATTTAACAAATGATTGTTCTTTAAATGTAACAAACAAGTACATTGCATGCATTGATATAAGACTACAGTTCTGCTCAAACAGCAAAATTTAAAGCAATAAGCGACCCCACAATAAAAGGAAAGAAATTATATTAAGTTAAATTACGCTCAAATTCTCGAAGTTATATTAAAACTTCCTTGACATTTCAAAAACTAACACAGAAAACTTCAATTTGAAATGATAATTTTATTATAACTATCATTAATGCCAATTGCTCATAATATGTTTCTCAATCTGTCTAATATTAGGTTGCAGTAGGAATCTAACAAAAACAATAGATTTGATCAACAATAGTACTATGCAATTAATGCAATCAACTTTTCTATACCGCCAGACAACTGGTGTCTCCCATATATCCATGCAATTGCAAGAGAGGAAAATAATTCCACTCTTCGTAAATATTCGACTGGCAGACATTCACTTGGGTCGTACTGTGATCGCCCCAGGTCCTGAGTCGTCATAGTCATATCCATTCTCACTGAGAAAGTTTCTAATAACTGTTGGAAGGACAGGTTGTCCCCGACTGTGATTGCCTCTGCCTGTTATTACCAATAATGATCTTCGTCTCTGCCTAGCTGATGTAGAAACTTGAGATTCAATCATCTTCAAGTGTGCCTCTAGAGCTTGAACTGCCTCCATTGCATGAAGACCATGCAAATCTAACTTCCACATGTTGACAATTAATATTTCTTTGGCTGCCTTCGCATGAAGCTGCATGACTTTCTTTATCTGCTATTAGCGAAAATACATATGCAGAGAAGTTATCCCCTATTAAATAAGCATCATGTGATGCTTTCGAATGAAGGGAGGCTAATTTAGCCATCGTGAATGCATCCCTACGATGTATTAGATATACATCATTTTCTTTTTCTTGGGGTAACTCTACTATTTCTATTTGCTTAATGTACTCACTAATAGCACGACTCAGTTCTTCAATATTCACATCATGGTTTACATCAACAATGGCATCATCGATCAAATTTTCATCATCTGTTGAAATCCTCATACACACCATTGATATCAATTTTTTGGTGCCGCTCGAGATCAAATACTGCCCTATCTGACATATTAGGGCTAATCCATGGTTGGCTAACATGAATAATGGTCATCTTCGAGTGTATCGGTCGGTCGGTCGGTCAAACTAGTGATGTAAACTTTCTTTTCTCTCTGATTAACCCTAATTGTTTTCCGCATGTATATATTTGGGAAACATCTATCCCAAGTTCAGTAGGAGAGTAAGTGAGTGAGAAGATATCTTCTGGATATGATAACGATGAGTACAGGGATTAAAAGGAAGGTTCGTATCATTTGAAAGTGTGAATTACACTTTGTATCCCAAAAGATTTAAGAATTTTTTATTTTATATCTTTAATAATTAAAATTTTCATATTATACCTTTAATGTATTAATTAAAAATACTATAATATTTTCATTTTTTTTTTTACTTATTCCATCAACATATGTAGAGTAATTTTTTATATATTAAGCAACCAAAAAGTTATATTATAACACTTTTAATATATTAGAGATGCAATATAAAAAATTTAAACTTTAATGGTATAAAGTTAAAAATCTTCAATTTTTTAAGGGTCAAAGTGAAATTCCTCCCATTTGAAATGACAATGCCGTCACCAAATAAAAATAGGAAAAATTTTAATCACACCCCCTCTAGTTTATCATATTTTCAAGGACACCCTCTCTAGTTTCTGAATCTTTAATAACACCCCTTCTAGTTTAATTTAAACATCACTAACACCCTCTTCTATTAAACTACCATTTCTAACAAAACAAATTCATCTAAAATACCAAAAATGCCCCTACATAACCTCAAGTAATTTTTCTACATAAAATTTATTAAAATTCGAGCTGTTAGAATTTTAAAAAAAATTCATAAATAACAATTTTAGTAAATAATTTGTTATTTACTAATTCGTAAATTTGAAAAAAAATCGACCCTATTAATATTTATTTTTACATATTAAAATTTGAGTCAATTTGAACTTTACTCGAGTTGTTAGTGTCGATTAAAATTCTCTTTCGAGTTGATTAAAAATTATATTTTTTAACTTATTAAAATTCGATTTATTAAAATTTAAGTCAATTAAAATTTATATATTTTGATATATTAAATTTATGGGTGATTAAAATTCAATGCGAATTGATTAAAATTTGATTTGAGTTGATTAAAAATATTTTTTAATTGGCTCATACAAAATTTTAATTAGCCCAAATTTTAATAAGTAAAAAAAATATAATTTTTAATTGGCACAAATTTTAATATGTAAAAAAATAAATTTTAATTAGCTTGAATTGAATTTTAATTGGTTCAAATTTAATTAGGTAAAAAAATTTAGAAAATAGATGGGGTCTCATTAAAAATATACTTATCTAGAGGGGGTCTCATTGAAAATATGATTATCTAGAGGGAGTGTGGATAAAGTTTGTCCTCAAATATATCATGGACAATTTAGTAAAATTACATTCTACTGAATATTTTTAATCTGATAGGGGATGTTATTGAAGATTTAAAAATTAGAAGGAGTATTTTTAAAAATATGATAAACTAGAAGAGGTGTGATTAAAATTTTTCCAATAAAATATTAGACTTCTCCTTTAACTGGACAAGACAACTCATTCTTTTTAAGGGTCTAGCTAAGTGTTGGTGTCATAAATGTCTTTCTTCTATCAAATTAGAGTCAGACCGTTAAATGGAGAAGCAATGGTGACCCAATAGAAATTGAGGCTTAAAACTAGAATTTTAAATGAGATTCCTATTAATATTTAGGATAATAATACGAAAATATAATGTATAATTATTAGATATTTTATAGATAATTGTGGTGCAATTTAGTTCCAACTTATTATTGATTTTGAAATCGGACAACATCAGACAATTAAATAGATACAAATTGTGAAGTTAGGATGAATTAATTGATTAGAGTCTCGAAGAGAGATAGAGATAACGACATAGAGTCAAAGAAAAACAATGAGAGTGGGAGAGAAAGAAAGACTTGAAAAGAGGCAACGAGAGTGGGAGGCTGAAAAATTGCTACTTTTAAAGTTAGACATCAATATTTTTAGATTTTTTTAAAAAAAATTGCTACATTTTAAGCTTTTCTAGAATGTTTTACATTAAATGCTTGTAAAGTATATTGGGCCTGGTTCATTCAACGGGTCCCATAACATAGGATTGAAAATTTAATTGGGATCTCTAAAATTTTGGGGCTTTATGATTCTCCCATTCAAAAGGACAAATTGACTAGGCCTCTTCCTATTTAAAAGATTGAAATGCGTGCGCATCTCGCAACGATTGAAATATAGGGGTGTATTTCAGACGGGTTGGACGGGTTGGATAATTAATCCTACCCTAACCCTAGGAACATAATCTTTAATCTTAACCCTAACCCTACCTCGAATTGGGGAACTCAACCCGAGCACTGCCCGAGTTTAATTCAGGCAGGTTCGGGTTGAATTCGGGTTAATAATTTCGGACTGATTTCGTGTTATTTTACTGGTTTAATTCGGGTAGAGCCCAAAATAAACTTGTTATTTTAAACCTAATACATATATTATATAATATTCACCTAAATTAACAACTAATAACTTTAACCAAGTTTTTAACAAGAAAGACTGAGAGAACGAGAGAGACAAAAAATGATAGAACAAAAATGAAAAATTAGTGCTAATGCTTTATATATACTTATATATATAATTTTTTTTTAAATTTGTCAGGTTCAAGTTGAACTTGGGTTCACAAGACCTTAACCCGAGTTTAACCCAAATTAAATTTGGGTTGAAGTTTTTGACCCAAGTCTAATTTAAGTATTAAAATTTTTTGTCTAAATCCTAATTTTTTTGAATTTAACTCGGATTAAAATCGGTTGCCCAACTCAAGTTGCAGCCCTAGCTCCCAAATGTTTCATCTATGAGGGTTATTCTCGTCATTTACCATCCTTCTTTACTCTCTCCGAGCAAATGAGAGTTTTGTTTCTCATTTCCTTCCACTTCTTTTTGGGAAGTCATTTCCTTCCACTTCAAACTTCAACGATGGTGTTTTAACGTTTATGTAAATTTTCACACAGATTAAATGTTTCTTCACAAATCAAGGCTCATTCAGGAGGATCTGTTCATACTTTTCTATGAACTAATGGACATTTATATGATTTACACGTTCTGGGTTCAAGTAATTCTCTAAATCCAATCTGGGTATTCCCTAATTTTGCAAAATGTTCATCATTCGATTATAAACCTCAGAAGGGCAATCAGTGAAGTTTCATCGGTTTCAAACCCAGAAACACTACGTACTGTAAATATGAGCGTTGCTTCTTCTTATAATCCTCAATTTCTCACTGCACCCATGCAATTCGATGCCTATAGTCTTGAGCACTGCCCCCAATTTCAGGTTTCTGACCAACAATGTGAAAATATTTCTTATTCTGAGCACCAATCTTCCAAGAGGCCTGGATTTTCTAGACCAATATTGGATTCAAGGATGCCACTGAAAAGAGCGAAGATGACTTGTACCGTTGAGACTGAAATGTGCTTGCTATACAGAAGGGGTAATTGCACTTATGGGGATAAGTGTCACTTTGCCCATGGAGTTGAAGAAATCCGGAGGCTACCATATAAAATGACTGACATTGACATTTTGACCAATGAGGATCACAGGATTATCAGTAAAATGAAACTGTGTAGGAAGTTCTGTAATGGAAAAGAGTGCCCATATGGGGATAGATGCCATTTTCTTCATGTAGGTCTCCAGAAAGTAAAGGGAGATTTGGGTCTGTCTAGGAAGAGTGTGGAACTAAACCTTGTGACTACTGGGTCTGCAGGGGATTGCAAAAATGGGTATGAACAATGGGAATGCCAGATGTTTGGGAATTCAACTCATAGAGATAAACAACAGGATCAGAAGCCAATCTATTGGAAGACGAGGCTCTGTAACAAGTGGGAGAGAACTGGTAATTGCCCATATGGCGTGAAATGTTACTTTGCTCATGGACAAGCAGGTATTCTAACTGTGACTTGCTTGATTTATCGATTGTTAATTCTTCTTGCTTTGAAATTTTCAAGCTTACTCTAATACTGTTGCCTGGGTTTGCTCAAACCAGTCAGTCAAAAGATTATTGGTTGCATAATAACTCTTTTTATTACATTTACGGGCTATTAATCCACAGATATATGGCTTATGTCATCTCTCAGACAGTATTATTTCATCTTATTGAAACCTTTGTTCTCTTTCTGGGGCGTTCGGTCTCAGCCAAATCTTGGGTTCCATTTCTTGAAGCACTTGGATGTTAGATGGTGTCAAACTGTCAATAGGTAGATAACACAGCATAGCTGATTGCACTTGTGAATTGATTTTTCATTTGAGATTTTCTGTGAGGAAACATGAATTGCATTTCTCTACTTGGTAGTTATCCATTACGTATTGAGGGACATTATAGGTTTAGTAAAAGAGGACAAATGCAGAAAGTTTTGGCCTTCAACATGATTTATTGTGGAGGATTGAAATAGCATTGTTTTTGTCACCCCCACCCCTTCTCACTCTCTATAGTTACACGCGAATTTTGTGACAAGACCTGAACTAAAAAGGCTTTCATAAGATCCTCATGTTACTCGACCAACCAAAATGATCTCCTTAGTTTTCTTTTATCCAGAAGTAGGAAGTTAATATCACCTTGTGTTTTATACAGATGACAACAATTTTCTAGAGGCCCTAGTTTTAATCTCGGAGTTGTTTTTTCTCTATGGAAAGATGTCCTATTGTCTGTAAGGGTGGAAAAACTTTTGGTTAGCCTAACACGTTAATTTTATTGATAGAACTACACAAGATTGGCTCTCACCTTGCATTGGAATCTGGGAATGTTTGCCCTTCAAAAGCTCTTGCTACCCTTGCCAATGATGGATCAGTCACTAAAACCAGGATGGAAAGTGAAAAACGGCAAGTGCAAGGTAAGAAGTGCTTATTCAAGCGTAAAGAAGTTGAGAAGATCAATGGCATCTATGCAGATTGGGTTGATGCTCTGCCCCTTGTGCACTGTTCATCGGCCAAAGTGGGAATTTGAATTTAATTTTGATTCGTGTCATATATCATACTTCAAGTTCAAAGGAATTGCAATTTGGTCAATTTGAGGCTGTTAATAGAGTGACCGACTTTACTCAGTTGTCACAATACTGAGATAATGGACATACCAATTGTCTCTTAAGAGTGGTGAACTACTTGTACAGCTATTATCAACAGCTGAGGGGAATTACTTTGCATACCCCCTTTAGAGACTCATTTTCAATATAGTTTCTGATTGTGGCAGCTGAAGTTTTTAAGAATGTCTTCTATAATTTTTTGTTTTCCCGAAGATGGGGTTTTCATCTCTACGGGGTTTTGAGTGAGATTCACTACTTGTTGGATTATAAATGTTATTCAAGGGTTCCTTTGTTGATATTAATGCATTCTTAGTTAGATTTCTCACTATCCGATTCCAAAAATGTTGAGAGAAGACTTGTTTGAGTTAAATAATTTAATACTCAATGCAATCATTTTGAGAAACTGTCAAAACCGAAAAAAGAAAAAAGATAAATTTACTCGGGCATTGTTGGTGCGTAAAACAATTGGATTTGGAACACTTTTAATATATTTTTTTCACAATTTTCTTTAATGCAAATACCGTCATGAATTCAAGTGGGTCTCCTACATATTAAGTGGATCCCCCACCAATACAAAGTGATATATCAATATGAAAAATTGAGAAAAATAATAATAAAGGATATCAGAACCCAAAATAAGGGATCACGATGGGTCAAACACCTGCCGTAGCAGCTCAAAACATATGGTTACAGTCAAAAAAAATAAAAGAATCGAATACGTCCTCTCACTTTCAACCTAGGTAACAAATATTTGTGGCACGTGTACAAAATCCATTCCAATTTAGACTTGATCTTGACCTACTTCCCTATCAATTGTTAGTTAATCAGCCATCGCGTGTGCCACAGAAACTAATACGTTAAAAATTCTCAGACAATACAACGACGTGAAAAAAAACATAGATTTGAGAATGTAGTCACACCTTATGGGCGTTCGAACTCATTTATTTTTCGCTTTTGCATAGATCCAGAATGGATGAGCAATGCGCTTAGGTTTGCAACCGCGGATTATCTTTCTGACATCTCCTCTAACAGAAAGGAAGGCCAAAACAACAGCAATTGAGAATGTTGGATAGAAATAAATAGCTTTGGTCGGATCGCTGGCTGCATGTTTCAGGAGAGAGAGTTCCTTGGTGAGTCCCCACATGAGGAGACATATCCCAAACAAGCCCACTCTGCTTGGTTTTATGATGCCTAAGAATGCTCCTGCCACACACAAGTAGCTTCCTGCAAGAATCTGGTGCAACCCAAAAAAGAAGTATAGGTGGAGTTAGAGCAAAGAAAACCCAACATAACATGAACACCAAAATAACATGATTCGTTAACACAAATAATAAATAGTTTGGATTAGTACCAAGTAAGAATAACTCGATTTTTGACATGATAAACACATTTAGATGGTATTGTATTTAGTTTTTGTCTATTTTCTTATCTAATATTGGCTGAATTGTTAGTAGTGGTTTTTGATTTAGGTTTACTAGAATGTGGATCAAATAGATTTTTAATTGATAAGAGACCAAACGTTTAGTGAATTTAATGGACAAAAAATAGTCCTAGTCTTGGGATTTTGGGTTCACGAGTTAACTATGTTAACCCTAACATAATAAGATCTTGAAAAAAAGGACGTGACTTGAATATGTCACTGAGCAAGAATAACATGACTTAATTACCACTCAGAGATGAATCATGTAAGTGGCTAGAGTCTAATGAATGGGCTATCCATTTTTCTGAAATAGACCAAAAAAAAAAAATGAGAAAAACTAGCTCAGTTCTCCCATGAGGCATATGCATTGAAAAATAACTGCTGGAGAATACAAACCTCCAGGTGCTGAAGATCAGTTGTGGCAGGACCTTCCTTGGCATGGTGGAATTTATATGCATTTAGCAGGTTATCATAGCCAGGGATGGCCTTTTCCTTTACAATAGCATTTGCAATGGCTCCTGGGTAGAGAAGGGATTTCACTACAACTGCAGGAAGGACTTTACTTGCAATCAACTGAGAAGAAGTCACCTCTATTGGTGATGTACAGGTACCAATTCTGCATGGCAATCTATGAAACAAAGAACAGAGCTCAAGCAGTCATAAATCTATAATAGTCGAACAGAGCACAAGCAGTCAAAAATCTATAATAGTCGAACAGAGCTCAAGCAGTCCATATAAGTTTTAAATGGCAATGCACTCGGGTTTGTTCAGTGGTTGAATAAGGATCAAGATGTCTTGAGTTTGGGTCGCGTTCAACACATAAAATTCAGGTTCTTCCCATGCACGCGGTTAGCTAATTATTTCATATATTCAAGATTTGGGTTAAACATGAGGGTCAAAGATGTAATGGAAATGGTAAATAGCAGCTATAGCAGTTTTCTATTTCCTTTTTTTTACTATAAGTAGCAAAAATCAGTGGAGATCAAGGTGGATATATTGAGGAAAGCAATAGTATTTCGTCGACTTTATTAAACAATACTAATTTCTAACATGATTCTTCCATTTTCCACAAGAATCAAAGTTGTTCAAACTGGTTTTTGGCCCTGTTGCACTGAACCACATATCTGACTGAGCTCAATAAAGAGAGTGAGAAAGTTTATTAATCAAATAACATTAACAAACTGTAAATTCAAACGTCCTGAATTCGAATCTTGATAATCCATGGATGACTTGCTTTTGACCAGACTGAGGAAGGAATTAGTTGATGTGCACGTAAGCTGGCCTGACCCTCTGACCATTGAATCCAAAAAAAAAAAAAAACAAATATCTAAATTCAGAGACCATAGAGACAACTTGATGAGCATTACTGAAATACTTGTTAAAATAAAATTGAGGCATCATGTCCATAGTTGTTTAATGAGAAGAACAAAAGAGGGGATATTTTTTTTCCAGTGGACGATGGTGTATATATACTACAAAATATGTAAGAAAGTCAAAAAAATCCAGTTGGTTTTGATATTAAATTTCCTAAACATGCAGGGTAATTTGAGAGAAATTATCAAATATTGTTGAACAATATTTTCAGAAAAAAATCAAAAATGTTTTATTTGGACAAAAACAGAAATCAACACAAGAAATATTTTTGTTGCACAAATTTAAAAAAATAATAATAATATTGCGACTAACAGTCTGATGATGAAGTAGATAAATAAAGAGGATTTTTTTATTATTTTTCAAATAGAGTTTAGCATTATGAGATTTTTTACCGATCTAATTTTTTTTCTCCAATGGAAAATGATAATTAATAAACTAACGAAAACACAGATCGAAGTGATGAAATAAATTAATTGACGAACACAAACTGCATTTAGATTCATAGATTAAGCGAACAAAAACAGGAAATTATGGGATATTGAATGCAATTAAATTACCTGAAAAGAGGAATTTGAAAGATAATTAGGAGGAAATATACGCGAGAAGCAATGCGGGAAATGATTCTTGCCGTTTTCTTTGATGAAGCCATGGTGGCGGGTAGTTTTGAAGAAGAACATGGATCATCTTTTTGGGGCCCACTAAGGCGGAGGTGAGTTGAGGGCCATTCTTCCTTTAGGTTAGGTACACGTGTCAAGCACGTGCTAACCACGTCTCATGAGCTTTGTTTTGTGATTAACGCGTGATTAATTTATGGAACTAGATCATAATTAATGGCATGTACCAAACACTTTTTTATTCCATTTTTACATCATACACCATAAATTCAAGTAAAATTTGTTGTATATATGTTCTTATTTTACTTATTAATGGTGAATGATCTGCTAAAAAAAATGGAGGAAAAAAATATTGAAAGAGATTTAAATCCCTATAATTTCTATTAGCCGAATAATCTAACATACTTGTTTATTTTCTTGTTAGTAAAAAAAATTAAAATAAAAAAGAGCAATGTTGCACAACCTAAATTTGTGATCTCGACTGACATTTCAAACCAATAAGAACCATTGGATTAGTAGATCTTAATTAAAAAAATTGATGAGATCTACTCATTCAATAATCCTCGTTCATTTGGGTTGTCATTTGTAATTCTAATTTGGGTTGCATAGTATTTTGTATAAAAAAAAATTTGCATTCATCTCATGGGATCTTACATTCGGTGTTTGGATGAATTAATTCAATGTGAATTGTATGTATGTTAGGCCTATTTTATATTTTTTATTATATAAACGGTCTGACCAGTTGACCCAATAGTTAAATCAATAAACCATTGATCCAATCTTTTTATCGATTCGATGGCCGGTTCGATTACGATAATATTGCAAATAGTCCCAAATAGTGTTGATGAGCAGTGACATCATCATTCAGATTCATATCTCCTCCCCGGTCCGTTAGTCCCATATTTACCACAATTAATTCAAGTAGATCCAGCACAAATAGAAGATACCTAATTTATTATTCAAAAAAAAATCAGAATAAATACATAGAAAAAGATACAAATCTGAAATAGCCCTGTTTCAATGCATTACAATTCAAGCAACTACAAGGTGACCCACCTAGTTAATAGTTGTGAAAGTGGGATGAAACTGTAGACCTAATAATGTTCTTATAATCCTCATTTTCTTGGGGTAGTTATGATGAGAGCGTCTTCCTTGGGACCTTGAACTTTCATATAATTAGGAGAAAACTCTAAAAATTTTAAGGAAAGATTAAGTGGTAATACGAGTGAGTTGTAAATTTAATTATATTAAATTCAAATTTTGATAATTTTTTAGGATTAAACTATGATAAATTTACTCATAAATACTATAATTTTGAACTTGTCTTCAATTTGAGTTAAAAAAAAATTAATTACAATGTCCATAAAACTCTTAAGCGTAGAAGAAAAGCTTAAAAGCATGATGACAGTGAGAGAACAAAGAAAAAGGACATTTTTTATTAATTTCTCTTGCCCTTTGAGACCTTCCAAGAACCATCTCGTTTGTATTAACAATGGACAAAGAATAACAGAGGAGGTACAGAAACAGATAAAATAACTGAACACTCAACTCACATGTGGGTCAGATTTAGTTTCTGTGGCTCACCCATCCCTATGCAATGCAATAATTCACCTTCAATAATAGTTCAGCCACCAAAACTCGGGCTTTTTGCTTATATATACACATCCATGTCATCTTCGTTCAAGAACCTTAGTACCTGGCCCAACATACTATGTGGAGCAATCTCCCCTTTGATCTCCTTGCCTACATCTTCTCTTTCCTTTCTCCAGATTCCTTGGCATGTGCCCGGTCGGCCAACCGGCATTGGCACACGTGTGCCAAGTACTCGACGGAGACGCAGCGGCACCACCCTTCATGGTTCATAGCCTTGCCAACGCGCCACCGTGGCCTCTCATGCTATGCTCACAATCCAGTCGACAACAATTGGCACCACCTCTCTCTCGATTTCATTCCCGACACAACACGACCCATTGCTTCCATTCGTGGTCTTGTACTCTTTAGAGCTACTAGTACCTCAGCCCTCCAATTAGCCATATGCAATCCATTTACTAGGCAATTTAGGCACCTCCCAATGCTGAAAGTGCCACGGACCAATCCAGCAGTGGCTGTGGTAGAATCGGACCCGACTCATCATGTTCCGGTTCATAACTTTAAGGTCTATGTTGCCGGAGGGATGTCGGAGGCACCAGCTGGTGGTGCCTCGTACGAACCCACATTGGAAATGTACGATTCACAACATGACACATGGAGGGTTATCGAATCGATGCCAGTTGAGTTTGCGGTTAGGCTAACGGTCTGGACACCCAATGAGAGTGTGTATGCCAATGGGGTCATCTATTGGATTACCTCTGCCCGTGCCTATAGTATAATGGGCTTCGACATTGGATCAAACAGGTGGAGGGAATTGAGTGTACCAATGGCAAATAAGCTCGAGTTTGCGACACTGGTGCCACGAAATGGGAACTTGACACTGGTCGGTGGCACGTGCGATGGTGAGGCACGTATATGGGAGCTTGATGAGGATGATATTTGGTGCCTGATTGAGAAGGTGCCATTTGAATTGGGGATGAGATTATTAGGGGAAAAGAGAAGTTGGGGTAGTACTAAGTGTGTGGGAATTGATGGTGCAGTATGTCTTTATAGGGATCTTGGGTCAGGAATGGTGTTTTGGAGAGATGTAGATAAGGGTAAATGGGAATGGTTTTGGGTTGATGGTTGTTCAATAAGAGGCAAGAAACTGCAAACTTTCCCCATTAAAGGTGTGCTTCTTCACCCAAATCTGGCTTCTTCCTGTCTTCTGACTGTATGATTTGTAATTTTGTGCACCTGAAGTCATTTTGCTGCAATGCAATGCTTATTTTTTAGGGTTAATTACAATCTGCATCTGCCAACTATATCCATTATTGCAATCAATTTTTTCTGGTTTCAAATGATGTAATTTATCCTTTCCAAGTTTCAAGTAGATTAAATTGACTAATAACAGTAGTTGAACACCTAAAAGAACTATTATACCTTCCATCTTGTACATTATTTCTCTTTTTTTTTTTTCAAAGATACCAATTTTGTCCCTAAAAAAATAAAAAACAAAAAAGCCAAGACAAAAAAATAAGGAAACTTTCGCCTCCTCTTCATAAGGAAGAGAAGGCTTCTACGGTTCTACCAGAAGAGGAGAGGAGAGGAAATGAGAGTTAACCATTCAAGATAAGAGAGAACAGATAGGTGTAAAGGGTAAAAAGAAAAGTACAAATATTTGGTACACAGGAAAAAATAGGTGTAAAGATAATTATTCCTTTTCAACAAAATAAAAATCACGTAAATTTAACATGCCCAACTTTTGTCAATTTTTATTATCTAAAAATAACTATTAAAGTTAATTGCAAAATATTTGAACTTAAAGGAGCTATTTGTCAAAATTAAACCCCGAAAGAGTGAGTTGCAATATTTCCAATGTTAAAAGGGGATAATTTGTAATTTATCCTATTTTTTACTGTCCAAAAAATTTCAAAAAAGAAAGATGGCATTTACTGTAGAGAAAAAAGATACCTGCCAATTTATGAATGAAGTAACCAAAGAGCATCCACATTAGATTCTTCAGTCTCTATCAACAAATGAAAGCATGAATAGAGATTTTTCTTTTTCAATTACATGGCAATTTATAATGAAAGTTTTCACATATGGTAGATGACAGTCAAGTTAGACCATTCTTGATATAAGTCCACTTGCTTTTCCATGAAGATATTGTTCATTCATGGACTTCGCCATGTGGACCATACAGACCTCCAAGCTGTTGATTTTACTGGAGTTCAGTACAGTTTTGGTCTGGTAATAAGCAACATTAATCGTGAATACTGGAAGACTGCAACAGTTAGGTCAGCCAGTGAGCTCTTCCATTAAACCCTGTTGACCATGAGCATACTGAGAAAGTTAGGACTTGGCAAATCCGCATAGTAGAAATAGATAATAAAAGTTAGAAGGATGAAACACCTGAGAGATATACTGCTCAGCATCAGTTCGCCTAAGAAAAAGAATTGCGTGGCGAGCTAGGTTGGCTAATTGATCACTAAGCACAACATTACCAATATCATCTAGCACCCTCACCTTGATGTAGGGATCTTTGGGTGGCACCATATCCTTGCAAACACATGAAATAAGACAGTTTAGGTGGTTTCCAATTCGGCTCAACAAAGGTCCCAACTTAGGAGTCGACTAAATAAATCATGTATTGTCATTAAGCTTTGTGTAGGGATGTGTTTACAATCTAGGGCCACGTTTTCCATAGTTGTTCCATTCCATATTGTTTACATGTATACTGGAACAAGACGGAATAGACAAGTACAAGAAGCAACTCCGAAGGAGTAAGGATTCTTGAGTGGAGTTATCTCTGCTAGAGAATCTCCATCATCTAACTTTCTAGTATTACACGGTCATAACGGTAATTCCAATAAAATCTCCAAAATAAATGTTTCTATTAAATAGATTGAATATAGAGAAATAAGATGCAAGCACTTAAACAGACGTTATATTTCATTTATCAAGGCCTTCACTGGATATAAAAGTGGTAAGCAATTGAGCATTGTGCAAGTAGAAAAAAGAGAGCAAGGAAGCAGAACTGAAAATAATAGAGTATGATGATACTTAGAGCAATTCCCAAGTTTGAGCTCAGGAGTGGAGGTCAGATGCACAGAGCTCATAAAACCAGAATAAAACTCAACCCAATCGAAACAGCAACGGAAGTAATAAAGAGATAGCTATTTGTCAACAGAAACCCTAGAGACAGCAAAGAGTCATAATCAAAGCATAAAACTCTCATCCAGGAAAAATTTCCTCCTAAGATCAAGGAGGATTCCTCGGATAAATAACAAAGATCTCGGGGCGGATCCCGCAAAATTAGGAAAAGCCCTATAAATACTATGTAACGCCCCCAACAGAGGGGCAGGACCCTAGTATCACATCTTACAGTCTGTAAACCTTTTGGTATAGTAAAGAGTGAAGGAAGGAGCAAGAATCTCCATTGAAAAATGGATTGGCCGAGCTCCCGAACTGGTGAACCACTATATTTTTACTGTGTACACCCTTTAATCCCCTCAATATTTTATTGTAGCATCATACATGAGCCTCGAAACTCTGATCCACGCTCATCTCACGTTACCTGCACCTTAAGCTCATCCACGTTGAAATACACCATCAGTTTGGCGCCGTCTATGGGAAAGGACTATTCCTGTTATAAATAAACTGATCTTTCAGTGACTAAGGATTTCAACGCGAAACATGAGCCGAAGTCAGACAAATCCACCACGGATGCAAGATCAACAAGAAGCTACTAATAACAGACAACCTGAGAACGTCCAGGAGACCAATCCATCCGTGGGGGGTCTCCCCATGAATAACGAGATGAAGACCCTTCGTCTCGTCAATCAACGCTTGCTGAAACAAAACGAAGAACTCTTAAAACTCTTACAACGCCCACAGGAGACGCGATAGGCTCAAGAAGGACAGAACAACCCACCACCTAGGGAGCAACCACACCCCGACCCCCTCAAGGAAGTCAACGAAGAAGGGAAAAATAGCCAAACCATGGGGCTAGAACCTCGCATACCCCCCAGGAATGGACACAACGAAGAAGTACAAAGTCAGAATGACAGGGACGAGAGGAACGATTTTTTCCCCTATCAACAGGAAAGGAGAGAACGGTACTAGGAGCAGCGCTTCTAGGATATCCAGCAAGAGCTCAGCCACATGAAAGAAGCCGTGATAGGCAAGACTCCAATTACGATGGATGCCTTGGTACAACAGACTGAATCTCCATTTACCACTGGCGTGCTGTATTTTCCCCTTCCTCTGAAATTAAGAGTACCGCAGATAGAGGCTTTTGATGGAACAAAAGATCTCGTAGATCACCTTAAAACTTACAAGAACCAGATGGAGTTGTATGGATACCAGGATCCAGTGCGCTGCAGAGCCTTTGCCATCACGCTAAAAGACTCAGCCCTGGCGTGGTTCAATAGGCTCCCCCCTACCTCAATTTCCTCCTTTAAGGAGCTGTTCATATCCTTTGTATCTCACTTCATAGGAGCTCGAACGTACAAAAAGCCAAGTTACCACCTATTGAATGTGAAGCAGGGACCTTAAGAGAACCTCAGATCATATGTTCAGAGGTTCAACTTTGAATCATTAAAAGTGGATGTCCCAGACGAGAAATTTGTCATTACTGTATTCATAGCTGGTTTAGGCGTACAATCTAAAGACCTGATGTTTTCTATTTCAAAAAATCCCCAGGCCAGCATGACCGAAGTACTGGCCAAGGCAAAAAAGTACATAAACAACGAAGAAGCTCTCCTCTTAAAAGTGGGGAGCTTATCCATGAAAAAAGACAAAGAGAAAGAAGAGAAAAAGAGGGACCAAAGTCCCAGAAGAGAAAGAGGATGAGATAGGTCCCCAAGGAGAGACAGAGATCGACCCCCCAAAAAAAGGGGAGACGTCAGAGATCGCTTGAGACCATCTCATTCAGAGTTGCAGTCAAGGCAAGCACCTTGACAGGTCCCTCCACTCATCGCAATAATATCACAAATCTTGTATGAGGTACAAAACGAAAAATTCCTGAGGTGGCCACCCCGAATGAAAGCAGACCCGGCGAAAATTTTACTCCACTCCTGAAATGCAGAACATCTAAGGAATTTTTTTCAGTAAGTTTGTCCTGTAATATGATTATTAATAAAGCAACAAGTATGTGGTTCATTCACTCTTACGAAGAGCCCTAGAACTCACGATGAACTCGTTAGTTCATAAAAAGAGCTCGAGAGCTCACGATGAACTCGTTAGTTCATAAAAAGAGCTCGAGAGCTCACGATGAACTCGTTAGTTCATAAAAAGAGCTCGAGAGCTCACGATGAACTCGTTAGTTCATAAAAAGAGTCCTAGAGCTCACGATGAACTCATTAGTTTATAATAAGAGCCTTAGAGTTCATGATGAACTCGTTAGTTCATAAAAAGAGCCTTGGAACTCACGTTAAACTTATCAGTCCATAAAAATAGCTCAGTAGTTCAGGATGAGTTCTTCTGTCCCTAAAGCAAATACAGCAACTCAGAATACGTTTCCCAGTCCAAAAGAACTAAAAACAAGACCTGCAGCACATAGACTAGAGGGAAATCTTCACAACTTCTATCCATTACAAAAAGCAAAAATGGGGGTCTTTGGTCCACAAGCCAGGAAACGACATGGAAGATCAGCTGCCAGATTCTCAAAGCCACAAATTATGTATAAGAAGTGGCAAACATAGAAAGGAAAAATCAAGGGTTCAAAAACATCAAAGATTTCAAAAAAATCAATCAAAGCAAAATTCCTAGTCGTCTCTGCAGTTCGGCTATCCTCTCCTTCAAACGCAGGTTCTCCTCCTTCAGCTCATCCCTCTCCTTCTCAGTCGTTGACAGTAGATTCATCAATTTTTGTCCAGCAGAGGAAAACAGACAGAACTTCCACAAGGACAGATTTGGATGAAGGAAAGGATGAACCATCCCTCTTGCGTTTCTTGATATGAGTCTCAGCATCCTCGCTCTCATCAGACCCGGTAGAAGAAAGATCAGATTCAGAAAAAAAACAAAAGGGAAAGTCCTGTTCAGCTGCAGCGGTACTAAACAAGAACAGATTATCTGACATCATGAGATCAGGAAAAAACATGGGCTCAGCTTGGGTCATTTGTTCCACCCTCATCAATTCAAGTAGGTTCAAGGTAGGAACACCTACATGCAAAAAAAAAAAAAAAATTCCCGTGCAAATTTCGAAGTCGCTGATTGGGAAACCATTCTGCTACATCTTGAGCTCAGCCCTCGCCCAAGCCAGCTTGACCAAAAGCTGGGGGGCAACTGATGATACTTAGAGCAATTCCCAAGTATGAGTTCGGGAGCAGAGGTCAGACGCATAGAGCTCATAAAACCAGAGTAAAGCCCAACCCAATCGAAGCAACAGCGGAAGTAATAAAGAGATAGCTATTTGTCAACAGAAACCCTAGAGGCAACAAAGAGTCATAATCAAAGCATAAAACTCTCATCCAGGAAAGATCTCCTCCTAAGATCAAGAAAAATTCCTCGGATAAATGGCGAAGATCTCAGGACGGATCCCGTAGAATTAGGAAAAGCCATATAAATACTATATAACGCCCCCAACAGAGGGGAAGGACCCTAGTATCACATCTTACAGTCTGTAAATCTTTTGATATAGTAAATAGTGAAGGAATGAGCAAGAATTTTCATTGAACAGTGGATTAGTCAATCTTCCGAACTGGTGAACCACTATATTTTCACTGTGTACACCCCTTTAATCCCCTCAATATTTTATTGTAACATCATACACGAGCCTCGAAGTTCTGATCCACGCTCATCTCACGTTACCTGCACCTTAAGCTCATCCACGTTGAAATACACCATCAGAGTACGATATTGCAATTTCAAATATTCTAACAGGTGCTAATTCCTTCTAACCTCACATCTTTTTTCTCTAAGTGTTTATTGGGTCAATCTTATAATACCCCAAAATTTTACACATACACAGAGAACCTATTCTCTTCATATGGATTTTAGTGGGACAACTGACCCCTCCAATGCCTACCTAGCTCCGACCATGGAAGCAAGTTTTAGGAAATTTACCTTCAGAAGAACTGATGAGAGGTAAGAAAGGGGCTGCCAAGATGGGATGATTTCAGGAGTTCTTACTGCAGGTAATTGATGTAAAAGATTGCAGCTAGCTTTCTTTAAATCAGTAAGTATTTGGACTCGGACTAGACTTTAGGAGGATTTGGATCAGGCAAGATAGGTCTCAGATACATGCTGCTTTTGTACTGTTGCAAACCTTCATAAAGACCTAGACTTAGTACAACCATGGCTGCATACAGGGCTTTGGCCTTGGCTTTAAGTGGGCCTAAGTTTCAAACGCTTCAATTAGTGTGTGTGCAGAGTTTGATGTGTAGTTCCCACCGGATTTATGAACCCTGATTCTATCTCTTAAAGAAAAATGACCTGATCTACATATGGACTGTTCTGCCAATTGGTAAGGGCGGGGGTTTCTGAAAAACATCGGATTCTTTTGGCACTTTGAGACACTTCCCTTACTTAAAAGCACTTCATTACCGGTGCTTGCATCCAAATGCAAAAAAGTAACTCAGCACCTATCTCTCCAGACCAAAGAGACAATCTGACAGGAGGAGTTATGAGCAGAATATCAACAAAGTACACATGAAAGCACTGTGTTCCTGCTTCATAATAGAAGATCCAGGTTTGCAAAAACTAATTCGCAGGACACATCCGCCCCTTAACTAAATCCGGAACACATTCCACCCCCTTAACTGCATCCTTGGAACTTTCTGCACTTCAGTTGTAGACACATCAATGACTGTTGAATCATCTAAACTTCCCTGATTGACTTTTTTGATTCTGCAATTTAAAGAGCCATCTAACTTCCCAGATTGACTAATGCTTTCTATTTCAACAATTAACACATAGACCAAAGTTACTCTGACTTCTTTCCATCTTGCAATTTACAGAGCCACTCACACAGTTACTCTAACTTCTTTATTCATTCAGACTACCAAGTTTATCAATTGGAGCCAGGCTGCCATTGAAATGTATGCTTCCTGGAAAGTCTTAAAATTGAGTATAATTGACAGGATACGAAAAGACAAATTACCACAGCCAAATCAAGATCCAGTTCTGCCATATATGCTTGTAAAGTTGCAGAATGATTTTTGAAATACTCTTTCTCTGAGGTACTTAGCTTCTCTCCAATTTCTTCAGGGAGCACACACTCAACTGTCCACCCCAAGCTTCGTATTACTTCTGCTCGATTATACCTTTAAATCCAAAAAACTAAATTATGAGTCCAAACAGGAGCAAAACTCAGAAAGTGTTTAATTAAGTAAACAATAATGGAGCTGATGATATAGAATTACACATAAGCCATAAGGCAGCGCTTATTGCGGACTAATGAAAGGTGGTGAATGAGTGCACCAAAGTGATCAGCATTTCTAGTTGTTTGGCTGTCTGACCCTTCTTCTTGAATTTTCCTATCATAGCACCAAGTTCAATAAGTTATGTATGAAAATGTGATAAAACGTGGCTTGTAAATTGTAACCGCACATAGTGAAATGACACAAGGCAAGATTTAGAGTCCAGCAAAACAATAACTTAAGGCACCCGATAAACTATAGATGTGCTATATGGTATGCCATATATTAGTACTGTACACCTGAGCAAAGGACACGCCCATGTGAACGAAATGTAAAACCAGATTTTGCATGACCAAATCTTCATGCAGTTCATAAAAATGATTCATTGGGAGGGCTTGGAAGGACCGATAAATGAGAACTAAAGTTGCGCCAAATATGTTGATAGAATAGCTTGGAAAAAAAATGAAAGAATTGATTCAAGCAGAACCAAGACAGAAAGCAACGATATATACATACCATAGAGTCTAAACCACCTGCACAATTATACTTCTTAGCGTGTACATGTATATACTTTTGCTTGACTGAATGATAGCATGGTGTTACCAAAACAACTGATGTATAAAAAGATGGTCAGCTATAGCACCGCACTGTTTACAATTAAGATATATAAGAACAAGAAGAGGAAGAAGGCTAAGAGAACATACAACAAAAATTAGAAAAGAGGTTACCTCAACAAGGAGGATTGAAGATGAACGAGATGGCCATTACATTCTTCGACTACTTGAGCAAATAGGTCATTCTATGAAGAAAAAAACCATTGTGAAGTACAACAATAAAAATGGATCAACCTAAGTGCTAATCTCCAAAAGAATAATGACCGATCAATCTATACATGCCCATTAACAAAAGAGTAATGACGGTTCAAATGAAAGCAGTATCAGGACTGAAGCAGCAAGGGAAATAATGTATAATGAGGGATGGATTCCGTCAAATACAAAAACATAATTCCTAAAAACCAGATATTGATTATGGAAATAAAACAATAATTCAGAGGACGAAAATATTAAGTCACTGTAATAGCTCAATGGTTATCTTGCTCTAATCTTCAGTGCCTTCGGTCATATTGTCAAGTAGTTCCCTCAGTTAGAAGTAGATGGGTCTTTAGAAAGTCTTACGATAAACATTTGACAAAGTTAAGTAAGAATCCCCTGCAGTTGTTTTTTTTTTGCTTTAGATTAAAGTTGATGCCCCATTAATTTCTTTAGGACGAGACTCCTAAAGGTCTTGCTGACATTCTAACATCAATCTTATTCTTCACTGGTTTTCTTGTTTTTTTTCTTTTTTCCTTCTTTATTATGTCCAATAGCAAAAACCAGCACTTTCATCACCATAATTTTATCCCCAGAACCCTTAGCCTGATCCACAAAACACTAACCTGATATCATCCCCACCAGTCTAGCCTCAAAATCTTGTTTACTGGCCAATCAAAATTCTCAGCAAGCATTTCAGTTTGATCCTCACAAAAAGTAGCTTAAAACATCTACAAACCTATCATTATGTGTATAAATTAGTCCTACTGATTTTCCTATTAGACGTTCAAAGTGTGAGTTTAAGTTGTAATATGGTTAATCAAATTATGAAGAAATATTCAGACCCATTATACACAAAGTGGGTTTTACACCACACAAGAAAAGAAAAAAGAAATAAGTTCAATCTATCCTGTGCTAGATCTTCACACAAATGGATTCAGAAGAACACACAGTGACACAGGAACCACTAAACGATAATAGTATGTATGTTAGAATCATATCACAAGAAACCATAAGCTTACATCAAAAGCTGCGAGCTGCCCAGGTTCACTGCTCGCTAATTCTTTCACCAACTCACTTGCCTTTCTCCCATACATCTCTTTCTCCAATCTCAAATAGTCAGTCTTCTTACAACACTGCAATCATATAAGCATTTAATCAAACATGTAAACTACATGGCAAGAATTCCAACCACCCAACAGGTTAATTGCGTAAAACACGCAAAGATGAATTAATATACATTTACACATACCTAAGTCATCGAGAATAGAACATATTTCTATGGAAGACGATGAATTGAGAAAGTTAATGAAATTGATAGAGACTTGACAAGAATACCCAAAAATCACCCGTAAGCTGCCTATTTCTTGGGATCTTGAATCTTGGCTTGGCTTATATTATACACACGCCAAATGAAATTCAAAAACTAAACATCACATCTATAATAGCTCAATGGTTGATCGAATGGTCAGTCCCAAAAACAAAAAGGCATATAGAAAGAATGAACCAACCAACGAAGGGTTTGAAGCCAAAAGTAATTGTATGAACAGAAGCAAAGAAAATGGAAAAGATTAGTAGCTTATTCTGACTCCTATCATATCAAAAAAAAAAGACCCAATGCCGGGGATGATGATCATCTCTAATACCAGATTGAATTACTCTGATATGAGCTCTGGTCAGAAAACCAAAAATCGCATTGAATTAACGAGAGAGTAAATTCCAAGATGCCAAAGTCAACGTCTCTATATGAGCATTTGATTAATAACCAAGAAAAAAAAAAAACATAGAGTACATCAATTGAATATACACAAAGCCAGTAATGGATTGCACAAACATAAAATCTGAAAGAGAGGAAAGATAGGTAGATAGGTAGAAGTACCTTCAAACTTGTTGGACAATAGAGATGCAAAAGACGCAGCGAGCCGAGGATCCGACGGGCGGAAAAGAAGCGGCAGTTTCGGTATGCGAGTGAAAAATTACGCGGTAAAAGTTGGAAACGAATTTTGATGTCCGCAAAACGGCATCGTCTTTATCTACTGGTCAGACTTGAACGGAGAACACTTTTCAGGCACACCCCTTTAGAATGCCTTATCTTCAAGCACACCCCTTATATTACCTGGAATTTCACTTACACCCTCTATAAGAGTTTATCGGTAGATGGAGGTAACATAGCTTGTTATTTTACCTGATTAACCCTGTCAATCTCAAATATTATCCATTTCTTGTATAATAAACACACACGCGCGCGTATATATAATAAGTGTATATCTTCTATTTTATTAACTTATATATAACTCTAACCCAATTGAAAAACTTCAGTAGTTGAAAATATTTTCAGTACAGCAGTTGCGATGGAACGAAAATATCTTAATTGGATTGAAATTTAGGCAATAGTCAATATGAGATCTCAATTTTTCTAATCTAACTCATACTCAATTTAAATTAAAGAGTTCTAATTAAGTTGGACACTAAATTCAACCTGATTGAACTTTAAGTGTCTAAATTGAGAATCATACCTAGATTCAATCAAATTGAATTCGAATTTCAATGAGAATTCTAGCTCGATTTCTGTATAACTGAATTTGAATTAAATTGGATTTTGAGACGGTCAAATATAGTCTTAGTTTAAAATTTTACAAATGAATTTTAAATCAATATTTTGAAGTTAAATTGAAGTCGAGATTTAGCTAAAAAAATTTAGAGTGACATGACTTTGTGTTGATCAGTTTATATATGTGGGCTTTTATGATGATGTTGATTATGTAATGATGATAAAATTGACAACAAACAATCGGTGCTCAATCATGCTTATAGACTTATTATTGATATTGATCACCATATTCAAAAGCTCAAATAATGAAGGGATAGGAAAGTCTTGAACCCAATTATTCAAAAGTGGTACTAAGTCCATTTCATTGGGCCCCTCCTTGATCATGAAATTTATTACTACATAATAAGTCTCCATGTTTGATGCTTTAAAGAAAAAACACATTCAATTATTCTACGCAGTGTTGATTGGGACATAGCCATCCCATTTTTGGGATGGATGGTGATACACCACGATGATCGTGTTCCATGCAATGTACATGACACTTAGGCTTGTGAATGGTTTGGATTTAAATTGGGTTATAATTAATTTCATTTTAAAATTTTAATTCGATAATTCAACGATTTTTATTTTTATAATTCATATTCAAAAATTCGAACCCCTGTCCAAAATTTGTATAATTTAATTAAATAAATTTTAACAAATTAAACCTAAATTTCTTTAAATAATCAATGACTTTTTTTAATAGTTATATAAAAATATATATATAATTCAAATCATAAATCGGATTTGATATATGTATATCTAAATTATAATCCGTGAAAATATAAAATATTCGAGATCGAATTATCAATAAAAAATATTAATTTATATTTAAGTAATCGAATTTAAATCAAAATATGATTCATTGATAAGCTTACGAGCACAAAGGTATACCTTGCTTGTCACTTTGTAAAAGAAAAAAGCCAATTTGTATAATTTAATTCACAAGTCGGAATAATTTAGAATTTAGTTTAGAAAGCAAAAATGTATGAGGATACAGTTTAATTTAGAGATCTAATTAATTATAATTATTAAAATTAAAAGTGGAATTCATCCCCCTTTGAACTTAAAATTAATTTAATAACTAAAATGAATCAAATTCTTGAGTAAATATTTGACATAATAGAATATGAATTTTGGTTATAAAATTTAAAATATTTGATATTTAATATTTGATTGGAGTATTTTTTATCTAACTATAATATTTTAAATTTGAAAAGTCTAAATATTACACACATATAAATTTTAGAAAGTCTGAGTGCAATTTACTAACGATTAAGGATATTGACGATAGGAATTTAAGTGTTAAACGTGTATAAATTTAAAAAAATTTGTGTATAATATTTTAAATATTACAGAGTCAAAATAATTAAGTAAGAAACTTAAAGAATGTAGGTGTAATTCTCCCTTAAATCAACAGTTAACCTCAAATAATGATAATCCTTGGCTGTTTTTATTTTTGGTTGTTACTTAGCGGCTGAATGGTAGAATAGTTTTGTATTGAAATCAAACAAATTGCTGTCCCCCTGCACCTTCCTTAAATCACGATCGTTATTATTTTAACAGAAAAAAAACAAATAAACAGATAATATTAAAATAAAATCTGTTGACTGAATTCCGATACCATGACCTCTTTTCCTAACCAACTCCGTCAGATCTCTCTCTCTCTCTCTCTCTCTCTCCCCACACATACATATAGACCCAAGCCCACAAACCCCCACTAGGAAAAAGTCTAGACAGCAATCCAAAGGCTTTCATAGTTCACACTTCTCAAAGAAAGATCTAGAGAGAGATATAGAGGTAGGTAGAGATAGTGAGAGAACAGATAGAGGTTTCGACGGAGAGAAGAGAGGGAGGCGTTGAGCTGATGGCAGGGTTGCAGAGATCTGCAGTATCATTCAGGAGGCAAGGCTCATCAGGTTTGATTTGGGACGACAAGTTATTGTCTGGTGAATTGAATCAACTGGCGAACAACCGAAAAGAAGACGATACAACCAATAGTAAAGCTGAACAAGGCCCAGAACAGGACCAACAGGTCGTAGAAGAGGCAAAGCCTTCATCAAGAGCAGTTGGATCGATCGAAAGGAGCAGATCCAACGGCGGAGGACGCGCGTTCCGTACAGGGAAGGTATCTCCGGCCATAGAGCCGCCGTCTCCGAAGGTGTCCGCATGCGGGTTTTGCAGTGCGTTTGGAAAACATGAGAAGACTCACCGTCGACCCAAGTCCGGTAAGCGTAGAACATGATATATCTCTACAGGGCTCTCTTGTTTTCGGGTCGCGGGATGTGGATATTCCGGTGGTCATGCCTATATAATCATCTGTGTGTGTGTGTGTTTGGTGTAGGGGGGTTAGGAGTAGTTGGCTGGTTGTCGTATGGGATTAAATATCATCTCAATTAGCATGAGCGGTAAGAATTTTGAGACAAAACCAAACATTTGTTGCAAAAGCTGTTCTTGTGTGTTAATGCTCATGCTTGTGGTTTTGTTTTTGTTTTTGTTTTTGGAATACTTTTAAAGTTGTAGGATGTCGGTGGCTGAAATTTGGGTTTTTGAGGATGTGTTTAATGTACAAAGCAAATCTCAATTGGAATCTCTAAAAAAAATGCCAGCATCTCTTGTATTGCTATTAATAGGTATTAGTATATCAGTTGTACTCATTAGTGTAATAATAGATTCTATATCCAAATTATCTAACTCCATGTCGTTAATATTGTGTTTAATGGAAAGGTAGATGAAAAAATGAAAGTAGATATTATACATTTATTGCCCTTTAAGGGAGAAATTCATTCTCTCATTTGTATTTGGTAAAAGGGATGAAAAGAGGAATGATTTTTTTTGTATTTGATAAGATGGAAAAAATATTATTTTTTAAAAATATAAATATATATTTTATCATTATATTTATATATAAAATTAATATATAATTGATAAATATGATATATGTTTATATCAAAAAAATATATAAACAAATAACATACATAATTAATTTTTCATCCACTTTCTTCTCAAGTTTAAAGGAATTGATTTTAGTGAGTTAGAATGAAAGTTAATTCATTATTTTTCCATCTTTCTTATTTTTCTTTCTGATCAAATATTATGTTTTATGTATTTTTTTAATTTTTCATCGTTCTAACTTTTTATCCATCCATCTTTTTCATCGGACCAAACGAATAATGATTTGTAATTATATAATACAAAGATTAATATCTTATATTCTCGTGGTCCTCTTCTTATATGTGAAATTAGTCACTCTCCATATTATGTGTTGTCTCGTTGAAGGTTTGTTAGCTCATCGAACCAACTTCAACCAAATGCTAGAATTCTTAAAATAAGGTAAGAGGCAATTACGGATGGATCATCAAAAACCATCTATATTGTCCTTAAGCATATAGTCTATAGCTTTCGACGGATGATATAGTGGTAAAAATCTTGAAGTAATTTGGGTTTGACTTTTCTCTAACTTCAGATGGTCCTTAAATTATCTTTGAATTGTTATAATCTATACACACATTATAGATTCAACTTCGACCATTCAAAAGAGAATTAGAGGATTCTCAAATTCTTACAACACGGAGGAGCGTATAACCCATCAAA